GGGGGGGGGGGGGGGGGTTGGTGGTGGTGATTCACTAGAATGAGTCAGAGAGTTTAGCCTTGGGCAGAAAAAGAGACAGTGAGAGAAAAAGAGAATGAAAGAGAGAGGGGGTGAGGAGTGAGGGGAGGGAGGTTGAGGTAAAGAGAGGACAGAGGCACCCGCACACATGCACAGGTGAAGGTTGAAGCTCCAGCACTGAAGGGCAAAGAGAGAAAGAGAGAACAGCTGTCACCTCTCTCTGATCTGGGGTCAGTGCTGTGCTAACCCTCCCCTGCCCTCACCTGTTCCGTCATGTCTGTAATAATTCACAGAGCTGTGCACAAACTGACCCAGCATTGAATAAACAGGACGACGAAAGTACAACTGAGCAAGTACAGTATACTGAATGTCGTTATCCCTTCATATGTCTCACTCTCAGTTCAATTCAGCACATTTTAAATGATGTTTAAGTGGCGTTAGGGAAAGCAATGTTGTTTTCTTTCACCTTATATTCAATACTATTGGGGAATAGTTCAGTTTTCTAGTAATAACTTACACATTCAAAAGCAATTCAACTTTAACTGGTGTTTTAGTTACCTGGCGCGCGTGCATCTCGTTCTCATCCTCATAGACTCGTGCCCCCTCCCTCCTTTCCCCATAATCCACCTCCTCCTCCTCCTCCTGCTCCAGACCCGGTCGCCGGGAAGGGGATCCCCGTTGGCGTGAGTTCCTCTCCGGTTCGATGCTGATAACGGAGAAGGCCACCGCGCCCTCCTCCCCCACCCTGCTGGCTCGAGGTAACAGTGGCCCGACGACGAGGAGCTGGAGCGCGAGGAGGAAGGGAGGAACTAAAAGCAGAAGTATCCCCGAGGAGCGGAGGGGAGAACCACCGCGGCCCCACCACCGCGCACAGGTCCGCATACCTCCTCCTCCGTGGCGGCACCCGGGAACATCTCCGGCGCGGTGCCCTGTGATTTAACTTTTCTTTTTTTTTTTTGTTCCTGGAGGGTAGCGAGGAAAGTCCCAGCTGAGAACCTCCTCCTCTTCCTTCCCCGACCTCCTCTTTCTTCTTCTCCTTACCCCCAGGGGATAGTTGTGATGACGAAGCGCATTCCTCGGTCAACGGTGGCCTTGTTGGCACAGTGACTGCCGTTTTATTTATTTAGCCCATACTGTTTATAATTATCCCAAATGTTGGTTAAAAAGTCCCTTCTAGTCTGTTACATATTGAGCAAACATGTTAAGTGGTTAACTTATAAAACGGCCAGGCTAATATAAAGAGAATACAGTTAAGCTAATGGTTTTTATAGTTGACGCTAAAGATAATTGATTATTAGTAATATTCCGCCAAACTATGTGAGAAGTTGTTGCTAAGCGACGCAGTAGCAGCTCTGACCAGTATGAGCGGTGGGTATAATATCACTAATATTAATTATTTAATTATTATCTCCAATATTTGATGAATTAGTAATGATATGCGTTGATCATTTTTAACCTTAATGATGAATCAAAAACTGAGTGCAGTTAATATTTTACTAGTAGGCTAGTGTACCTTCAGTACTGTTTTGAGGTAACTGTTATAGGTTGGCTGCTTTACTTGAATACAAGTACATTTTATGTTATTACTTCTAGGACTTATATATATATATTCAAATTTTATATAAACCTATGCTTGGTTTATACCATCATACCACCATACATAGATTATACAGCTCAACAGTATATAAAGTATATAGCCTAATATATATTTAATATATAAATGTTGTTAGAATTAGCTCTTAACCAGCTACATTAAAATGCTGCTTGCATGTTAATGGGTCAGTAATGCTGCATAATGAATACTTTTTACTTTTCCTTTAAGTGCATTTGGATGATAATAGCCTTTTACTTAACACTTTTTTAAAATGCAAATAAAAAATACCTTTACTTAGATATAGGTAAAAAATGAGAAACAATGTTACAGATTGTTATAACAGTTTAGTGTTAACTTGCTGCGAGTATGGGGTTTAGTTGGCTGTTATTTTGCATAAATATAGAACAAAAGACATGTCTGAAAGAGAGCTGTTTCTCTGCACCCTCTTCTTCTCTGTCTGTCATGTCATGTAGTGTTGTTGACAGTGCGTGTCCCCTTCCACCATACAGTGGAATGTCACAGCAAACACATTTCCTCCGGCCATGTCTGAGTCTATTTAGTCAGCCTGTTGACAAACTGTACACAATATGCAGCCAGTAAACTCCCCCCATCTGCTTTCTTTCTCTTTCTCTCTCTCTCTCACTCTGTCTGGCACGCACACGCATAAACACAAGCTGCAGATGTACAATATTTGCTCTAATATAGCAAGTTTCCCTGTGAGGACATGTAATGAGTATGGGGTCCCTTCCTGTCAGCGCTCTGGTACCACCAGCCTTCACGCTGTGCTTTAATACATTCCCTTATTTGGAAAAGGAATTTTGAAACCGTACATTTTTGTACATTTTGTTTCAGTGGCTTTAAAACCTCTCCGACACTCTTTTCTGATTTCCTCAGTCTGGTTTCTTTCTTTCCCCTCCAACACATCCTCCCCTCCCCTCCCTTTCACTCCCTGTCGAATTGTGTCCTTGACTGAACTCTCTTGCTCACAGTCCCAGACAGCCTGGGCAAAGCCCAATACTCACGGAGGCTCTAAAACACTTGCATGCACGCACACACACACACACACACACACAAACATGCCCACACCTCCCTTAATCCCTTAAAGAAGCAGTATGCTATAGACAAGATTACCAATGGCAAGAACAGAATGTGTATTTAAATATTTTGCACCTCAGATACATACATGATATGTAACAGACAGATATACAATTTTTTCATCACAAAAACCACTAAACAACACAAGACCACAGAAAAAAGAAGGGAGAGAGTGAAAGAAAGAATGAGGCCCCGCCAAGACTTTGGTGTCTGGGGAGCTTTACTCCTTTTGACCCCACAGACACGCACGCACACTCACACAAACATAAATGCACACATACACACAAATACATGCATTACTGCAGTCACGCAAACACATCCTCTGCTCTCACGCGTTTCGCACACAGAAAACAAGAGTCTCTTTGGGGCCGTTGTGTGATTTCAATGTCTCTTTCCCTTGTAGTTAAAACAGCAAAACACAGGATGTTGGGTCTCCATGCTGCAGTCCCCCCCCCCCCCCC